TATATAACTACGAGAGAGTTTGGGATAAAATGCCTATACTATATGTTTTGATATTCCATAATTATATTTGATATGAATTTTTCCTAAACTTACTATTAGTTGGACAATGGTATCATTAGCTTTAAGTGAGTTTTTTTTTTCTTTTATTAAAGACGAAAGGAATCATTTTTTCAAAAGATCAATTAAGCTATTTATAAGTTATTCACCTCCTATTATATTAGCTTTCAAGTTGCGTTTTTTAGTTTTATTTTATAGAGGCTATATGATGATTTTACTTAACGCTCTAAATTTAATGGCTTCCCCTGTTTTCAGCAAAAAATCAATGCTTCAAAAGTCAAATTGTTTGCTATTGTTAGTACACATGAGTTAAATGCAATCTTATCAAAATGATTTCACTTCTGGTAAAACAAAAAGTAATTGCTGCTTTTGTTTTGCTTCTATTACTTTCATTTTGAAGTTTGAATTCTTAAAGGTAAAAAAATTATTCTACGAATGTTGTTAAATTGTATATATGACCATATGATTTAGTGTTAAAAGTCATATATACTCGACCCTATCTTGTTCCAAACAAAAGGAAATTTGAGCCATTTGCTTCAACTGAAATTATTTTAACATAATTTAAAATAAAATGCCAACATTTTTTAATAGTATTTTTCTAGAAGATGAACTAAAACATTGAAATGCTAACCAAATATAGAAACATAGCTGCAGAAATAGGAACCAACAAGAATGCTCTCTTGTGTTATCAAATTCATATAAAAACTAATCTTGTGTTATCAAATTCATAAAAGAACTATGGAAATGGTAAAGTGAAACAAATGTATACAACACAATTGTGGAAAATTTCAATAGTTTTCTTTGGAACTTAGAAGACCAAGTCTTGCAAATTTAGTTATGTTCTTTATCATCCCATAACAAGAACAAGATAAGAGGTGTTTTGTATGCATGTAATCATGAAAATCTCTTTTCAAAGTCATGTCTTCTCTAATCCATTGAACCATATTTTTGGAGATAACAAGGGATCTGAAAACAAATGTTGCGGTTCCACTGATAAAGATCTTTCTCATCATATTCGGATTCGAATCCATACCAAATTAGGCGTATTATTTAACGTTTCCAGAGCTTGATAATACTACAATCCTGCACACCCAAATGATGTGATTTGCTAATGCAAGTGGAACAAATCGAATACAACAAGTCTTTTGTACCATTCAAAAGTCAAAAGCAAAGAAATGGAACAACAAATCATAAAGCTTATCAACATAAACTAGTTCTTTCATTTAAACCAAAAGCAATTTTAATCTCTCACTCCCTCTAAATAAGCATAACACTTTCAACGTAATGTAAGAAAGTAAATACTTGATCAAAATCTCTAAACTTATGCTTGGGGGTTCCTTCCAACACAAGGCTTTTAATCCTCTTGGTTTTGTGATCCAGAAAGTAAACAACAAACTCTTCGAAGTTGAAGGGTGCAAAGATAATCTCATCCATATCAGAAATTCCCAAGATATCTAAACGGCCATGGAGCCTCCCAGTAACACCTGTACTAAATGACAAGTATTCTTTCGACCACTCTTGTTTCTTGGCGTCCTGTAAAACCCACAAAGTGGAACGGTAGTAGTTTCCATTAGGATGGGTGACAAGAGCCACTTTTCCACGGATGTTTATCAAATTTGTTTTAATAAACGATCCAAGGCCCTCTGGAAACACGGAAGTGATTTCCAGATTTTCAGACCTCAAATCAAATCCCACCACCAAGAATGGTTCATTCATGGTAAAAAAAAAGGGAAGCACTGTAATATAAAATGCCGTTGATGCACACAGAATCGATTCCAGGATAGTGAGGAGGAATGTTGCATTGGATCATTCTCCATGAACAACAATTCTGAATTTGAGCTCGAGTTCCCAATGTGAGGACATAATGGTCACAAAACCGCTAAACATTGGTCAAGCACAAGACTTTGTATTGCGCATCGATTGGATCATATCCTAAAAAGCTTCTACTGATTATATCATGGAATTTGTGGACAATGGGTGGTAAAGTTATGGACTTACCTGTACTAGGATTACATACGACTTGTTCTTCACCGTATAAAAACTGATCAAACCATGCACGTAACTAGGCTTATGGTAACGCAGTTTCTTGAGGTGACATACCGTACTTGATAAACTCAGGTGGAGTCGAAACATGAGTTATTAATTTATTGAGTAATCCCCCATTAAGTAAAAGATCTTAGAACAGAGCAAAGGAAAACAGTTTCCACAATTTACTTTTTTTGGTAAAACATAAAAGGAAACAAGAATAATAATAATTGCCGTGGGCTACATAATCCATAATCGGTTTGAGGCTTTGAACCAGAGCAACGACTCATGTTAAGACCGGTCCGGGTTGGTTTGGGAAAAATTCATATTCTAGATAAGAGCCCCCATAGTGAGGTTACGATCCAAAACCAAGATGAAGGAATTGAGCTTAGGAAAATTGATCAAATATGTACGGTTTAAATGATTTTCTGGTTTTTTGCAAATAAATCTCAATGGTATTACTAAAGCTGTGTAATGTTGCTAATTATAAAAAACGTAAAGTTTAGTCTTGCATTATTTGCGATGGTTAGACTTAGCTTCGATGCACATGATAATCACAAATACAAAGAATAAACGAAACATAAAAACAAATGGATAAGCTCTTTACCCACAACTGTTAGATTCGATTATTATTTAAGAACTTCATTAGAAATTAAAATATGAATAACTGTTACAATTACAAATGTGGTAGTTCATAGAGGAAAATCTACCAAACAACATGCATTTTTATGACAATCGTAATTGAAAAACTAAATATATTAATGTGTGCATGGTTTCTCATCAATCCTATGTTCAAAGTTCAAACTAATCATGCCATACAAATAGATAAATAAAGCTAGTTAATACGTTGTTCTATACGTATAACTCTAACTACAACACAATAATCAACTCTTGATTTAATTATTACTACTAAACAACTGAAGCAATACGTACATGATTAACGTGTCTCTATAAGAGTACCAGCTAGTGATTCGTATTATCCAAGAGATTTAACAAATTGATCACACATACTTTCGAATCCAACAAGGGTTATTTTCAGAGTTTGATTACACATATTTATATAATTAAGAGAGAATTTGCATAAATGCCTAAAATATATTATGTTTTGATATTCCAAAACTATATTTGATATGAAATTTTCTTAACTTACTATTAGTTGACAGTGATATCATTAGCTTTAAGTGAGTTTTTTTTTCACCTGTTCTTACAAATGTAAGCAATCATACTTTTTTTTATAAAAAAAACATCAGTAAGCTATTTATAATTTATTCGCCTCCTATTGCTTTTCAAGTTATGTTTAGAAAAATATATATGTTTAGAAGCTATGTATTTTACTTAACGCTCTAAATTTAATGGCTTCCCCTGTTTTCTGAAAAAAAAAAAAATCAATGCTTCAAAAGTCAAATTGTTTGCCCTTTTAGTGAAAAAACCAGATACCTCAATAGAAACAGTAGAGACAGCAATTAAAGATAACTAGGCAATGCACACAACCTAAACCAAATTTCATAATGCAGCCAAAGGCAATAAAATCCAACAGAGACAAATAGGTTTAAGTCTTAGGGGATTTATTGGTTCATGGATTTTAATAGATTTGAAAATCTATGAGTATTTGAAATTCTATATAGATTTCAAAATCAATAAATTGGATTTGAGAATCAAATTTAATGGATTTAAGAATCAAATGAGGAGGATTTAGAAATCAAATGAAATGGATTTGAAAACCAAGTAAAGTGAAGTTAGATATAAAAACACATTGTAAAATAAATAAAATTAACTTATATTAAGTATTATGACATAAACGATAATTTTTTTTTTTAAATTGCAATTTGCTCTATAATAATTTTTTTTATCTAATTAAAAGTCAGTTTTTATTTATTTATGAAATCATGAAAAATTTAGTTATTTTTTTTATTCTTTGTTGGTCACATATAAAAAGTTAGTTTTTTATATTAAATTTTTTTATTTATTTAAATTAAAGTCAGATCTTCAATAATTATTTTCAACTAAAAGTCAGCTTTTATTTCTACATACAATCATGAAAAATTGTTATATCATATAAACATAAGGAGACAAGGAGTCAGTGAATGGAAATATGGTTTGGCAAC